AAACAGCCAATGTTGAATCTCGACGACAATCGGATGGACTGGATTAAAGGACCCTGGGACCATGAGGACACTACGAGAGTCAACTACAACAACAAAGGAGGATTAACAACGAGAAAGCAGAAGACGAAGAGCATAGAGAATAGAATAAAGTTCTGCTGTGAAGATGCTAGTCTTCAGTGGTAGGCAACACATATAAGTGTAGTTAGGAAAGACAACAGAGTAGCCTACACCGTCTGCAGACATATACACATCGGTGAAGATGGAAATAGGGCGAAAGTGTGAAGAAAAGTGTTCAAGGAAAAGGCATTTCAGAACCGTAGGAGAGGTAAAAGCTTTAGTGATGTGGGTAAAGGATGTAAAAAATTTTGGAAGGGGGACTCTCCACGGGGGGCAAGTAAGGAAGGAACAATATGAGGAGAAATATTGCAAAAACAAACCGAAAGAGAATCCAGCAAGCGAGATAACCGGACAGAAAGAGGGAGATGGTAAAGAGGAACAGGAACTACAGGAGGGGTAAAAGTTAAAGCACGACAGAGGCGAGAGGAAGGATGTTGTAAGAACCGCGCAAGATAGCGAAGACAGAAGAAATCATGACGGTCTTGGAGAGATAAAAAGCCAGTGTCAACATACAAGACGAGGGCGGGAGTCGAACGAAAGACACTAGAGCTGAGGCGCAACCCAGTATGGTGCAAAGTATCAAGACAGCGAAGAGTAGAAGGAGAAGCAGACGAGTAAGCAGGGCAACCATAATCGAGTTTAGACAGGACGAAAAAGGAATGTAAAGAGAGAAGCGTGCGCCCATCTGCTACCCAAGAAGTATGGGACAAAACCTTAAGGAGATTAAGGACCTTAGAGCATTCAACTCAGAGGTTGACCAAAGAGATTTGGGGCGACCAAGACAAACGAGTGTCAAAGATTTACCCAAAAAGCTTAGCGGAATCCTTGTACACAAGGGGACGACCGTAAAGTAACAAAGAGGGACGAAGAACGACATGCTCCCGAGTAAAAGTCACAGCACAAGTCTTAGACATAGAGAACTTGAAGCCATGATCGGTAGCCCAAGACAACACGGCATCAATCGCAGGTTAAAGTCGCCGTTGCAGGAGAAGCGAATCGTCACCCCGACAGCAAAGGGGTAAGATCGTCGACATAGAGAACAGAGAAGACGCCAGAAGGAAGGGAGGATATCATTGAGGGCAACTAGAAAAAGAGTAGTACTCAGAACACTACCATGGGGTACACCCTCGTATTGCCTAAAAGGGTCAGAGAGAGTGGCACCAAGCCTCACTCGAAAGGAACGACGAGAGAGGAAGCTTTGGAAGAAGATAGGGAGATTACCACGAAGGCCAGAAGAATGAAGTTGGGACAGAATGTGATATCTCCAGGCATTGTCGTAAGCCTTTTCTAGGTCAAAATGGACGGCAACAACAACGGAAGTCTTTGCACCAAAAGTAAAACAAATATAGACCTCCAAGTTCACCGAACATCTGTTGTGCTGCGGCATTTGTGAAAAAAAATTGAGAAGGGGAGAAGTGGTGATGGTGTTCTGAGAACCACATCAGCCGAACATTAACCATAGGTTCAAAGAGTTTGCACACACAACTCTTGAGGGCGGAAGACCTTAGAGGGATGTCCCGAGAGACCCTGGTCTCAGAACAGGGAGGACAACGGTATCGAGCCAGTTCTCAGGAACTGACGATGACTCCCAGACCCGATTATTCAGACTCAGTAAATACTGAGACGTGCACGGAGGGAGATGGCGAAGCATCGCATAATGAATGTCATTGGAGCCCGCCGCCGTAGAACCGCAGAGGGCCAGGGCAGACTGAAGTTCAGAGAGAGAGAGAGAGAGAAGGGATCGTTACAGGGAAGTCTGAGATGGGTGCAAAAATCTAAAGGATGAGATTCAAGAACAAGCTTACGAAGAAGGAAAGATTGTGAAAGATGTGAACCAGAGCTAACAGACGAAAACTGGGAACCCAGTTCGGTCGCGACCTGCAACAGGTCCTCCACAAGAGTTCCACAAAGGTGAATGACCGGCAAGACATCAGGAACGAATTTACCCCCTATCTTGCGCATACCCATCCAGATCTGTTGCAGAGGAGTTTCATACGTAATGGTGGAAACATAAGACTTCCAACACTCATGTTTAGCTTTACGGATGGCCCTACGGGCCCCGCACTCACCTGCCGAAACAAAAGAAAAGAATCAACCGTCTGCCATTGGCGGTGTCTCTTCCAGTCTGGACGCTTACAGCAGACAGCCCGAGCACAGTCCACCAGGGAACGCACTTCAGTGTGCCTCGAAAGGTAGAGCGAGGAATAGAGCGGAGGGCAGCGTCGAAAACGGTGTCATGAAAAAGGAGGAGGACGTGTGGGAGAGGCAGAATGGAGAAGTCAGAGAGAGAAGCACGGAGGGTAAATAGGTGCCAGTTAGCCTCGGGAAAACACCACCTAGGGAACGAGAGGGAAGGGTGAAGAGAGAAGCAGGAAACATGAATGGGGAAATGGTCACTGCCATAGAGGTCATCAAGAACCTTCATCACCACACAAAGGGCAGAGAGAGAGAGTACTGGGGAATCTGAGGCACCATGTCCAAACCTCCAGCACTTACTACAAAACCAAGGAGAGGGAATGTATTCCTGAACGGAGCATCTTGCACCAGCAAGAATAACAGAGGGCGGAAGTGTCCGACCATCAAAGGTAATCTTCACAACCCGAAGGGGCAGACGGCGATGGCCACGAGAGGGTTGAGTGAACGTTTCCGCCTTGAGAACAGATTGGCCTTGGGCCTCGAGGATATGTTTAATATCCTGGTGGCAGTCCTAGAGATTCCTAATACCGGTTGCAGCATGGAATGGGAGGAGAACAGTGCCAACACTGGCATTTAACGGAGCATTCTTGGAGACCCGAACTGGGTTGTCCCCTATGCAAGACAAAGCGTCCAAGCGGGTAGCTGCATCCCAAGAAGGAGCAGCAACAACACACATACCGAGATGGGTGGGGTTAAAAGTAACAGAGGCATCTACTGAATCAGCAAGGTGCCTATGGAGGGAGAAACCGTCAGGAGGAGTAGAATCTAAACGATGGAGGTCAAAGTACTTAGTCCACATAGCAGGACCAAACAAGGCATGGTAAAAATTAGTATTGGAAGGGAGCGTGCAAGAGCGGCCGTGGCAGTGAGAACCCCTAGAGTGGGAGAAAGAGGGGTCATAAGGCGCAGTAGTCACAATGAGCGATGGAGCCGTGCTAGGGGACGAGGTGGTCACAACAGGGGGCTTGGAACTCGAACCTACCACAGAAGAGGGAGGGGAGTGGGGGTGGTGGGGAGTAGTCCAGTCTGGGCCCAATGTAGCAGGGGCTACACTGAAAGCTACACTGTGCTGGAACAGAGCCAAGTCTTCCAGCACAGTCTGACTCAGGGGCCTGGTCGCCCACCCCATGAGCCTGGGTAAGAGAGGTCGTGTCGTCATCCATGCAGCAGTCGTTCTGAAAGTCTGGGGCCTGGAACTAAGGGATACCACCTACCAAGACCGCCAGGAAGACCGAGCGCGGGCCAGCGCAGGAAGGGTATGTCGTCCCCAGCGGTGCCCCTCCCCTTTTTTTACAGGGGAGTCCTCCTGCATCGTCCATTCTCCCACACGGGAGCAAAGACCTCAGTCCCCTAGCACCCCAGCCTGGACACCCAGCCATCCACTCAGGGTGGCCCCTCATGGGCGACTCTTCCAGTGGGTGGTCCGATGGCTCACAAGACCCCTACATAGTGCCCATCTCACATACAACACCCAAAGAGGGGCAGGAGAGTGGGCGAAGACAACCCTAACCGATCCCAGTTAGGTGTACGTGAGTCCCTCACCACGACAAGGCGACATCACGAAGGGGTTGTCGTTGTTGTTTAAGATTCGCTACTTGGAACAAAAAGTTCCAAGTAGCACGGGCTATGGTGAGCCCGTAACAACCTCGGAGGGTTAATTTGTGGTAAACCTTCTACAGCTGAACTGAAACAGCGGCAATGAGACTGTGTAACAGTTTACCACCCATAGTGACTCATAAACTACTGGAATCATCTCAAATCTTTCCAAATGTACTCTCTAGAAAGAAGACGTCAAATAATATATACATAAAAGGTACTGGTTAGGCCAGATTCCAAACTTACATGGTAAAATAACAACATACTGGAGTGAATAATATGGAAGGAAATACAGAACAGAACCAATGAAGAACATAAATGCCATAGGGACAATCAGAGAATACTGAATGAACATTAGAGATCCAAAGTTTTTCAACATCCTCCCAGCGAGTATAAGAAATATTACTGAAACAAAAGTGAATGTAGTCAAGAAAAGATGGATAGATTTCTTCAAGAACTGGTGAACCAACTGGGCTGTAGTGGATATGTAGGCCTGTGGCCCGCTCTAAGAAAAAGCCTATCACAAATCAAGCTCTCACAAATCAAGCTTGGCCCTGGGCCATGCGTGGGAGTAGAAGAACTCCCAGAACCCCATCCAGGTTCAGAGGAGCTTGGCTCAAAGACAGCCTGGACATTAGACCTTAACTAAGCCCTCTTTTCCTGTTTATTTTATATTTTTCAGTGCATGTAAATTTAATCTAATTTTATTCTAATTTATTAAGGGTTATCCACAAATGATACATATACACTGACAAGTTAAGATCATGCTTTAACAGGTTTTCTCCAGCAGCACTTAATTACTTGCCCAAGAATCAGCTGAAATTTTATTAGGGTATTTGGAACGTTGTAAATGTTAACATAATATCACTCAAAGAAATAGGAAAGCTGTATGCTGGAAACCTAGAGAATGAAGGTATGGCCAATACTGCAATAACAGCTCTGGACATATCCAGGACTATGATGAAAATCGCAGTTTTTATATAGTAAAATTTTACAGATATATATATAAGGTACCATAGATCGCAAATAGAATACAATTAATACTCACAAAAATACAGAAGAATAACGTTTTCTTTAATATCATCTCGAATGAATGGCTCTTTTCCTTACTCACAAGATAAATGAGAAGTTCTCACCTCATTGAATGCATGATCTACTATAAAAAGATCAAACGACTTCCTCCTCTCATAAAGCTCCTTGACCAGAGTGTCTTTGTAAAAATCTCTAGCAATTGCTGGAAGCATGTCCACAAACATCTGAAAGGATCCTGTCGGGTCCTTCAAGTAATCAAACATGTTTACTTTGTCTTCTTTAAAGTGTGAAACACCGTGAGTGACCTCATGGATGTTGGGGTGATTGGACGATTTCGGACGGTTGGTCAACATCACAATCTAGAAAGAGGATGTGGTGCTGGAAGTTATGGTAAGGCGTAAGTTAATTGGCCAAGGCTGTGACAACAGTTCGGACTAAATACAACTGCTGGAATAATGAAACTGAATGTCATTGCCATTTATTGTATTAATAACACATATTTTCACCTTCAACTATTATTGTACATAAGAGGTCGATCCTCTATTTACTGTTGCTTCAACAATCAAAAACAGTGTAATTAAAAGTTCACAACTATTGTTGACGAAATTTCTCATTTTTATGCTTCAATAAAATTGAATAAGGTCTTACCTCGTGTCCACGGTCGGCCAGAGCCTCAGCGAGAGGCATGAAGACATTCCTGTGGCTCGTGGATGAGACGGGGAGGAGCATGAGGATCTTGTAGGCTCTCTCAGGGGGCGCCAACTCCCCCGCGGCGACCCCCGCCACAGCCGCCACCAACACGCACAACGGCGCCAACTTCATCTGTAAAGTAGAAATATGACAGTTATTGAATATGATATGAAATATGTAAAAAAAAAAAAATATGCCGTTAGCAGCAATACACACAATTGAGTAGAGATTGATAAATATTTTTTCTATTCCTGATGAGAACAGCTGACTGAGTCTCATATAGTCCACCACATGGCTAGAGTGCAATAACGGGCTCTCGATAATGATATTTAATAAGTACTTGTCTAATACATCTAGATCCTTCATTCTGAGATTGTGTGTGTGTGTGCACGGGGGTGGGGAGGAAATGGAAATGGTGTGAGTGCAGGGAGGGAGGAGATGGAGATAGTGTGTGTGTGTGTGTTCAGGGATGGGGAAATGGAGATGGTGTGTGTGTGTCTGTGTGTGCAGGGGGGGGGGGAGAGATAGAGATGGTGGGTGTGCAGGGGGGGGGGGGGGTGAGGTGATGGAATAAGAACAAAGGCAACTGCAGAAGGCCTGTTGGCCCACACGAGGCAGCTCCTATTTATAACCACCCAATCCCACTCATATACTTGTCCAACCCGCGCTTGAAACAATCGAGGGACCCCACCTCCACAATGTTACGCGGCAATTGGTTCCACAAATCAACAACCCTGTTACTGAACCAGTATTTACCCAAGTCTTTCCTAAATCTAAACTTATCCAATTTATACCCATTGTTTCGTGTTCTGTCTTGTGTTGACACTTTCAATACCCCATTAATATCCCCTTTGTTATGTCCATTCACCCACTTGTAAACCTCTATCATGTCGCCCCTAACTCTTCGCCTTTCCAGTGAATGCAACTTAAGCTTTGTTAATCTTTCTTCATATGAAAGATTTCTAATTTGGGGAATTAACTTAGTCATGCTACGCTGGACACGTTCAAGTGAATTTATATCCATTCTATAATATGGCGACCAAAACTGAACTGCATAATCTAAATGGGCCCTAACCAGAGCAAGATATAGCTTGAGAACCACACCAGGTGTCTTGTTACTAACGCTGCGATTAATAAATCCAAGTGTCCGATTTGCCTTATTACGAACATTTATGCATTGATCCTTTTGTTTTAAATTCTTACTAATCATAACTCCCAGATCCCTTTCGCAATCCGACTTCGCAATCTCAACACCATCTAGCTCGTATCTTGTAACTCTATCATCATTACCTAACCTCAGAACTTTACATTTATCAGCATTAAACTGCATCTGCCAATCCTTTGACCATTTCAAAACCCTATCTAGATCAACTTGAAGTGATAGTGAGTCCTCCTCCGAATTAATTTCCCTACCGATTTTCGTATCATCAGCAAATTTGCAAATGTTGCTACTCAAACCTGAATCTAAATCATTTATATATATTATAAACAACAGAGGTCCCAGGACAGAGCCTTGAGGCACTCCACTTACAACATTTTCCCACTCTGACTTGATTCCATTTATACTAACTCTCTGTTTCCTTTGGTATAGCCATGCCCTAATCCAGCTTAATATAGCACCCCCAATACCATGAGACTCTATCTTTTTAATCAGTCTTTCATGTGGCACTGTATCAAAAGCTTTGCTAAAGTCAAGGTATACAACATCGCAATCCTTACCACTATCAACTGCCTCAACAATGCTAGAATAAAAAGATAACAAATTTGTTAAACATGAACGGCCATTTATAAAACCATGTTGCGACTCAATTAATAATTTATGTTTTTCAAGATGAAGACGAATTTTATTTGCTATTATAGATTCGAGTAACTTTCCCACAATAGACGTTAGGCTAATTGGTCGATAGTTAGACGCAAGTGATCTATCTCCTTTCTTAAAAACTGGTATCACATTAGCAACTTTCCAAAACTCTGGCACTCTGCCTGACTCTATTGATTTATTAAATATGGTTGACAGTGGGTCACAAAGCTCCTCTTTGCATTTTTTAAGCACCCTGGCAAACACTTCATCCGGCCCTGGGGATTTGTTTGGTTTGAGTTTTACTATTTGTTTAAGAACATCCTCCCTGGTAACTGTTAAACTCGTCAACCTGTCCTCGTCCCCACCCACATAGACTTGTTCGGCTGAAGGCATATTGTTAAGTTCCTCTTTAGTAAATACAGATACAAAATATTTATTAAAAATACTACTCATCTCTTCATCACTATCTGTTATTTGACCTGTCTCAGTTTTTAATGGACCTATCCTTTCCCTAGTCTTAGTACGATATAACTGAAAAAACCCTTTAGGATTTGTCTTTGCTTGCCCTGCTATGCGAACTTCATAGTTTCTTTTTGCTTTCCTTATCTCTTTTTTAACATTTCTAACCAGTTGTACGAATTCCTGTTCTAAAGTTACCTCCCCATTTTTAGAATTTCCAGCTAGTTTTTCTAGATTATGTTAGGGTGTATGGCTACACTCTAGCACTCTAGAATGTAGTTCACACACTACATGTGTGGGGGAAAACCTGACTCCAATAACTAATAATTAAATATATACTTCGATAGCTGTGAAGGACCACCACTTTTTGAGAAAAAGTGGAAAACAAAATAAGACAATGGAAAAACTGATCCCAAGAACTAGTGTCCTATGGATCTTAGTGAAACTGTATTTCTTATATAAATGGAGTCAAATTAACCTACACAAAATTGGGGGGTTACATGCTAAAAGATTAATACATCCCTAACATTATTCTGGTGCTGGTTCTTCACCAGAGTAAATAAAATATGAAAGTAAATAAGGTTGATTGTAATAGATTAATTGGAAGTAAATGTACCTCAATATACTGCTGGATAAAATAGTACAGTATATATAGATCAATGGGTTAATATAATAGTTCTCTTTGGGAGATCACTACTGTAACTACAGAGTTATTGCTACAGATAAAAAAGGGACAGCTTAGCTGTAAATCTAGTGAGGTGTAATCAGTTGCCACGCTCCACCGACGACATGTTGCATAGGGCAAATTGTTGCACATGAAGGTAGGGAAGCCTAGCACCTCGGTTGGCGTCGCCTTGTTACTGAAAGGCAATTACATTGTAGAAATCTTCTACATAATAGGTAACTACAAATGCATCCTAAATTATAAGGATAACTGTAGAAATCTTCAGCCAATATCTGTGCAATTTATATTCAAGAACTGTAAATTCCTTCTGTAGAAAACAATGAAAATAATCATATATTTAGACGGTAAATTTACTAAAGACACGTATGGGATTTTATTATTTTATATACGGCCTAACGACAACTAGCCTATATGTTAACTGTGGCCACATGATAACAAACAGGTGAACCTAGCTGCCGAGCCGCGTGTCCGTTGATGTGGAGACTTGAGCAATTCTTCGTCCTCCAGCTGCTGCTTGAAAGGCGTTGACTTTGGAATTGCAGATATGCTAGTCTGGGACACGGCTATATCATGCCAGATAACGTGGCACCGCTCTACTGGTCATGGGAGCGAAATAAGTAGGATCAACCGTAGTTCTGCTACACGCTGTCAATGGCGTCCGAGTCGAGCTCTCTCGTTTTGTGTCTGGTGACGCTCTCCCGTCTTCCTCCTCTTCCTTAATGCGCATGCGCGGCTCTCGATAGACATCTCGAGCGTAAATGGATATGTATATATCGCAATTGACTAAGGAAGGAAGAGATAGTGACGAGTATTAATATCACATTAAATTCTTCTGTGATAAAATAGAATTTCGCGTAACATAAATTGGCTTATTAAAGTTGTGCAGCTAATCGAGGAAATTAAGGTAAAATCATTTACATTAAAGTAATTTCCTCTAGAATGTTTAATATCAACTAAAAAAAGGAGTTCCAGTGAGCAGTAGGATACTACGAAATTAAACTTATTAGTAAGTAACTATTTTTAGTAAAGGAAATGATAAACTGGACTCTGTTATAAATCCAACTAAATGTGGAGAGAATTCATGTTACTGCCTGTTGTTCCTCACGTCGTCGCTCTGACTAGGAAGAATCTGGCAATATGTTTATATAAATCATGATAATGATTACATCTACAAGTTAGTAATTTTAGTAACTACTTGTGGTTAATACAAAGGTTGCATAAAATACAAAGATGTATAAAACTGTTGGTTATTTCCAACAACATGTCCTTGTGTGGAGTCTGAAGAAAGCCCAAGCTTAGGGCTGTTCATTAAGATTACAAGAAAGTCTGTAACTGCTCTGTGAAAGGAGTTCTAGTAATTTACATGTTTACTTATAAAATGTGTACAGGGAGATGAGGCACGATGGTTGTGGTCAGAGCCAACGGCTCTTGTGGGGCCTGTCACTATGCAAGCCAGGAAACTGAAACGTCACCAGGCCATGACGTAGGCGAGAGGAAGAGCTCTCATTCGTTGCGGCACGGCTAGACCTGCCAGCTTTTCTCTCATTGGTAGAAGTCAAACACTGAAGGAAACAGCGTGGCCACGCTAGCTAAGCCCGCCAAAATTCAGTCTAGAATCTGTGTTGTCTGGGTGTGGTGTCCCTGGTGGGGGTGGCCTGTCCACCACCACCACCATAATGCCTTGTTGTCCATCAATTGCCTTACCCCAACGGTGTCCTGCTATCGTGGATTGCACCTGGATCCATATTGCGCGAACGTGGGAAAGATATTAATTTAAGGAATTGAGGCAGGACTCAGTGTGGGAGTCAACACAAGGCTGACAGAGTCTATTGTCTGTGTGTAGATCGGTGGTTATCAGTCAATATATGAAATCATCTGCTCCTTATGACTGATTTGACTGACGGTGAGGGATTGGGGAAAGGTTTCCAGTGATTTGGGAAGGCCTTCCAAAGTAATTATTGGTAATTGCGGCCCACTGAGTGTGGACACTACTTCCCGCTGACCGTGTCGTCCATTTTCATCACCTGCCATCCACCACACCTGATACAAGCGACACCAGCTCGTGTATGGGTGCTCCGTGGGTATGAATCATCATCCACTAGTCGAGTGAACGCCACCTTGGGTGTCGCGTCATCTGTGTGCGTCATCCAGCACCCGTGCTGCCAGCACTGGGTCATCCTCCGTGGT